TACTACGACGTTACGCGTAGTACGTACTAGTACACGAGTACGTCTATCTCCCTGAGCTTGGCCTTCATAATTCCATTCCATCACAGGAATAGATCATGAACTGTTCATGTGCAAGTTCCAAGTCAAGCTACAGCAGAAGAACAAAAGCTCAATATAATCTCAATATACCCACCATTTTCAAGAACATCAGGAAACACTTTGAAGTCCTGAACTTCACTGATGGGAAACCAGACAAACTGTGGAATAAAATCAAAGTAGTTGCTAAGAATGAATGTAAAAAGAGACTGCCAAAAATCAAGAAACAGAAGAAAGCAAACTCGATGTCAGAACAAATGGTGAAAACTGCAAAGAGAGAATCTAACCCAAGAAAAACTAACAGGAAGGTACTTAAAAATTCAGAGAGCTCTTAGAAAAGACAAGAAACAGTATGCCATCTGTAAGGAGATAAAAAATGGAAACAAACATGGAAAAACAAGGACAATCTTCCAAACAATCTATGAACACAGAAGGAGGTTCCAATCTCATATTTGTACACCAATGGACAGACAATAACTGATTCAAAGAAGATCAAATAGAGATGGAAGGAGTATATTGACATTCTGTATAGTAGGGATGCCAATACTAAGGTATCTTAAAAGACATTCCTAACTTACAGGAATCTCTAGTACCAGAAGATGAGCATCACCACTCCAGTCTTTACCAAGTCAGAAGGCTACAAGAATTGATGGAATATCTACATAAATATGGCAAACAACAGAAGAGGAATCAGTAAAGGTTCTAACCAAACTATGCCAGCAAATCTGGAGAACATCAAGTGGCCAACAGATTGGAAGATGTTACCTGATCTAGCACTGAAGATGTTACCTAGCCAGGTAACGAAACATTTGCAAGCAAACAACCAAGCTCGGAGAACCCCAAGGACTCCACAGACTGGAAGAGGCCAGCCTACATACTAATACCAAAGAAAGGAAGCATAACAAAATGTACAAACTATTGTACAATATCCTTAATTTCACATACTAGTAAAATAATGCTTAGGATCGTCCAAGGCAGATTAGAGCTCTACATGGCAAGTGAGATACCAGATGTTGAAGCTGGCTTTAGAAAATGCTGAGGAACATGAGAGACACAATTGCCGATACATGCTGTAAAATTAAGAAAGCCAAAGAATACTAAAAAGAAGGCAATTTGTGCTTCATTGATTAAAGAAAGGCTTATGATTGTGTTGACCATGTCAAGCTGTGGAATTTCCTTCCACAATGGCATCTCTGTCATGGGTGCTCAATGGGTGGCAGTAGATTTCCCCAAGTTGATAGCGCTCAAGAACCTCAACCTAGTGAAAGGCCTGGAACAGTCCAGGAGCTTATGATCACCATGACAATCATTGACCTGACCCAGTTTACTGAGCACCCAGCACATGAGAGATCTCACACTAGATCTGTTTTTTGTCTCAAGGTAGGCATAATGTGATCTGAAAGTGGGGGGCATTGAACACTGTCCCTTGTCATGGCAGATCACTCTTTCATTGTTTAGGAGTTTTGCCATACAACCTTTATTCACAAGGGTGAAGGTCCTATCAGATCAGTCCACCCCAAGTGCCTAATGGATCCCCTGGGTTTTCAGAGGGCACCTGAGGAGTTTTCTAAGAATCTGATAGGCAGTTCAGTCGAGACTGATCATCCACTAGAATAAGAGGGAAGCTGAGGGGCTTGACCAAATTACACTGGAGTAACCTTTCCCCTCTCATAGATCCAATGCTGCTCTTGGGTTTACTGAGGAGCTCATGGAGATGAAATGGCAGAAGACCCATTTTGAGTCCAACCACTAGTAAGAGCTCACGTTTGCTTCTACACAGTAGTAATCCAAGCAGCAAAAAAGAGCTATTTTGCACTTCATTGCATCTGATCACATTAAAGACAGAAAAGACAATTGCCATTAAAATCTGAAAGGCCCACTGTGAAGAATTTTCATGACCTCTGGCCAACAAAACCACTCAGATTCAATAGGAATTAATCTCTAGCTGGACAGTGCCAACAGAAGTAACTGGGCCTTCATCTAATAATGTGAACTGGGATCACTCTGAGCCTTTAAGTCTTGAGAAAGCAGAAAGGGGTCTCTGTAACATCAGCTCACCACTTCCCATTTGGACCCCTGCTCCTGATGATTAACTAAGGCCTTCCCTGAGATGAGAGAAGGTTGGCTTTTGCAGTTACATCTTGTGCATCAATTGTGGCCATTTCAGAATCATGAAGCTCTTTTCACAGGTCACTCACATACTGTAACCTAAACTCATGCAATTAGAAGAAAGGCAGAAGGTTTTCTGGGAACTTCTTTATAAACTTAGGAGGCTACCCATTTTACATTTATTAGACAGAATGCAAAATCTCTTCTATATAATAATAATAATAATAATTCTATTATCACCAAAATATGTTTAATGCTTTGAATGAGTCATCAAAATCATATTATGACTTAATACATGGGTAAACCTAGCCACTGTAGTATATTACTACATAATAAATTATACAGTTTATGATTCAGTGTACTGTGAACCCAACTATAGCTTATTGATTCAACCATGGTTTAGTGCAATGTATGAACACACGGCTAAGGTAAGAACTAATATATGGCTTGGGCTGAGGAGACCAGAGGGTGGGTGACTTTGGACTGATCACACTCAAACTAACCTACCTCACAGGGTTGTTGGGGAGATGACATGAACGGAGATCCCCAAATCACTCATCTTAAACTCCCAGAAGGAAGAGGGGATACAAATGCAATAATAAATTGAACGCGATTTAGGGCATTAACCCAACTGTCTGGGTTCACATCACATACTCAAGCATCGCGTAAGGATACTGGTTAAATTCGTTTAGCAAAATAAGCAAGAGCGAGGACGCCTCCTTTGTGACTCAGCGGGCTGCAGGACCCAGATCCTCAGTTCGAGTTTGAAGTTAAAACCCGCTGCCCGGCCCAAGAGGCTCAACAGGGGAAGCCGTCGCAACCCCGTACCCCACCATGGCTGCTTCTCCCTCCTCGGCTCCCGGGGCAGCCTGAAGGAAAGCCGTGAAGATGGTTCCCCCGTCGGACTCACCTGCTCGGCCGCCCTGCGCCGGATACCCCGAAAGAGGGCGGAGGCGTCTGTAAAAGAGGCCGCGCCAAACAATCCGCGCCAATCCCGCCTGCCCTGCGCCCAGAGGACAAGGCGGCCAATGCGCCTCCCAGGAGAGGCTGTTACGACTCCTTCCTGCTCTTGCCAAGCGGAGAGCAAGAGCCCAGCAGGACGGCGGAACCAGCCACAGCGCTGCTCCCTTCTTTGCCCGCTCTTCTCTTCCGATCACAGTTCATCGCCGGGGCACTCAGGGCCACCGCGGCTGAGAAGCTCCCTTCCTAGGAAAGGAGGGGCAGACGGTCAGTTGGGGCTCGGAGCCACTCTCCTGAACAGCGTCGAGAGCCTTGCCAAGGAGGAGCAGCCCGCTAAGCCCAGCCCTTTTTTCCGGGTTCAGAAAGGGATGCCGGGAGCTGTAGTTTGGGCTCGCTCTACAGCAAAAAGCCAGCATCGCCTCTGACTCCCCAGTTCTGCCGGCGAGACAGTCCGTGGAGGAGCACGTGGTTAAGTGGAAGCGGAGTCTGCTCAGAGGTTGGGGCTCTTTTGAGTGTGGGCCCTGTGCTCTGCCGTGTGCTCTGCCCGCCTGCTCAACAAAAGCTGGAGAGACTATGCAAAGCCCTAGCAGCCCCCAGGGCCGCTGTTGCCCTTCCCCTCCCTGCTCCCCAGACAGCGAAGCAAAGAGTGACGGGGCTAGAAACATGTGGGTGTTCGGATATGGCTCTCTCATCTGGAAGGTGGATTTTCCTTACGAGGACAAGATGGTAGGATACATCACGGGCTACAGCAGGAGGTTCTGGCAAGGCAGCACGGATCACCGTGGAGTGCCGGGCAAGGTGAGCTGCGGAAGGCAGGCAGAATGGAGAAACGGGGCTATTTTGTTTACCCGCTCGGTGCCAGTGGGGCACTGAGAGATGCCAGGACTCTCTTGGTTAGTGGGGAGAATCTGTATCTCCTAGCCGGGCGCTGGGACTGGAATCGAACTATGCCAGAGAGGGTCAGAAAAGGAAAAGGATTGGGGAGGTGGACCTGTGCGACTGACAAGAGCTGCCCCGCCAGCCATCCTATTGCAGAGGTGCTTGGCAACTGCCTGCGTGCCCACTGGTCGGATTGCTGCTGGTGTACACAACCGCCGAGGCAGATCTCCCGTGTTCGGTTACCGAACGCCCGTTTCCTACGGGTGGAGCGATTTCAGAACCCAGGTGCACTTTCACACGCACAGCCCAGCGCGTATTATTGCTGGAATAATGGAGGGAAGGTGTTTTTGTCTCCCACAACTACTCTATATGCTTTTTATTTGTCTATCTTGTCTATTCACAGACAAACCTTGAATACTAACTAAATGCGGTTACCGATGCAACTTGGGTACAAGTTACCCATGGTCCAACAATTATTTCGTTGGGGGGGATGCAGAACATGACAGTGTATCTTGTCAGGCAACTAAGAAAAGACAGAGTTCCCAAGCTAGTTTTTCTTTTACTTGGTTGCAGTACGCTTCTATGTTTGGGCCACCTCCTATAAATGTATTTATATTTGCTCAGACTCCTTCAGAGCAGACTATGAAGGAACTTCAATGGCAAGATTGCACAATATGCTAAATAATAAACTATGGTTAAACTATACATGCTAAGCCAAATTTTCTGCTAAAAAATAAAATGTGACCTTGAATATCATGTTTAAATCCAAACCCAAGAGTAATGCTGCCTATATTCCCATATGTTATCCAAAACAAATCAAATTATGGCTTAATATGATGGCATGATTCACACAGCACACTAAGACATAGGATTTGCTTAGTTTTGGCTTAGCATGTATAGTTTAACCATAGTTTATTATTTAGCATATTGTGCAATATAAACAAGTGTGATCATTTCCTGAGCAACATATGTCATAATTGTTCAAGGCTGAGAAAGGCATTGTCCACTTCTAAAACTGCATTAAGCCATTTGACAGCAAGTCTTTTAATGTCCGCCTCTATCTTGTTCTTGAATATAATTTGGGAAAATTTTTAGCCAATTTGTTAAAATTCACATCACATATTACAAATAACTTCACATTCACAGCTCAATCCTCCATGTTTTCTCTGAATAAGTTACACTAAGTAAAATGAGGTATTTCCTAGTAAATAAAAGTGTATAAGATGAAGGGAGTTGTTACAAATATTTAAAAAAACAATTTCCACTTACTACAGATGGATCTTGATTGCAAAACAAGCACATGATGTGCTCTGTGGTGGGATGAGTTGTGCATCCAATGTTTTAAAACTTGTGAAATGAGAAACTAGAATCTTGGATTTCTAGTTTGGTGTCTTGTGTAAAATATTTCTTTATATAGAGGGGTTCTTTTTATTTGGAGAAACAATCTGTCATACTCACATACACACAACTTTCTGAAGTGATACTATCACAGAACTGGCAGACCACACAGTTCTTCTAAAATTAGCACCCAAGCAGTGTTCCAAGATTTTTAGGGTAAGATGTGGGTTTGCATTTGTAATTTCAAACTCCTCCGAGGCTACATCTTCACTCAAGATATGAAGACAATTAACAGATGTATAGGTTTTCCTTCTTGTATAATGCGCAATCTGATAGGGACAAACAGGATAATTGTAGTACATGCCAACAGTGTTTCCTCTAGTGATCTCAAAGGAGACCTTATTCTCTCAGTGAACTGTTCTTTTGCCTGAATAAGTGTTGCTTTTTTTCCATATTTCAGTTGAGAGGTCTTAAACCATTTAAGTTTTGGACATCAGATATTGGTTGCTATGAAGACCATGGTGTTCAGTTTTTTGACTGCATTTACTTATAGAGCTTATTAATCAACTGATAAGATCAGAATACTACATTTCATTTAAAATTAATATGTGAGCAGTATTAAAACCAATGAAAAAGTAGTTGGAGTTGAGTGGCCAATAAATTTAAATAATAAGGCCATTGCATGATCAACTGGCAAGATTAAAAATACTTTTGGTCTACACCATTTATATTACTTCATAGTAGTCCCCATATCTCTCTTTATATAAATATATCATTAGAATGACAAGCCCAAAGCTCTTTCACTATGAACATCTAAGATTGTAACCATGTGCATACTTACCTAGGAATGAGCTCCACTGAATTCAGTGGCACTTACATTATACTAGGTCACAATTTCTGCACCCACTCTGATTTTATGATTGCTGTTTTGAAATGTTAAATTCTGATTATATGAAAAAACTGTAAGAAAATATTAGAGTAGTTAATTTTCCATCTCTTTACTAATAAACCATTGCACCAGACTTAATAAGAGAATTCTGATTAAAGGAACTTTCTTCAATATCTTTTTTGGAAGATGAGAAAAAGTGTGTGAACCCTTTAGAGCTATCCATAATCCTGCAACATGTTGACCTACAATGTCCTCAGAGCTCATATAAGCATATTAATAAAACACAAACATTGACTGTCATCGGAATACTGTTCACAATCCAGATTTGTGAAAACATGCCCAATTCTGCAGACCTCAGAAAAGATGTCTGTGTTCATGAGACTAGAATGGCCTCCATCAGTTCACAGTTAGGCAGGTAGTGTACAAATGGAGAAAATGCAACATCACTGTTACTCCCAGGAGTGATCATCCAACACAAAATTTCCCCAAGAGCAAGGCGTACAATTTTTGGGAGGTCACAAAAAGCCCAGAGAATAGCAAAGGATTTTCAGGCCACTCTTGCATTGAACAATGCACTGAGGTCAGTGTTCATGACTCTACCATAAGGAAGACACTGAAGAAAAATGGTGTGTATGGAAGACTACCAAAGAGGAAACCACTGGTCTCCAAAAAAACACAATGCCACAAGTTTCAAGTTTGCCAAAGATCACCCAGATGATCCAGCGGGCTATTGGAATAAGGTTCTGTGGACAGACTAAGACAAAAATGGAGCTTTGGACATTAATGAGAAATTTTAAGTTGAAAGAAAATGAAACATTGAATTCCAGTAAAAAAAGTTCATCGTAAGCATGGTGATGGAAATTTTCATGGATTGGGGCTGCTTTGCAGCCTAAGGACCCAGACAGTTCACAATTAGGGAGGGAACTATAGATTCTGGATGGCAGCAACAAATTCTACAGGAGACTCTTGGGTATCTACAATAGTTAACCCAACTGAAATTATGCATAACCTAAAACAAGGAGTTCACGTAAGACAACTCCAAACTATCAATGAAGTGAAACTGTTTTATAAAGGGAAACAGGCCAGAATATTTGCAAATCAAGGTACAGGATTGATCAATAAGTACAGAAAGTATTTTGTTGACATCATATCTAATAGGTCTTGAAGATGAAGCTAGAGCACATTGTAGCTCATAGTACTGCAGGATTATGGATAGTCTAAAATGTTTACAAACTTTCTCTCACTGCTGTAGTATAAGTGAGACTAGGACATGTTGCCCAGTATGCATCCTTTCACTTTGTTTTTTTAATTTGTTTAATTTGCCATTTTGTTCCCTCCATTTTTAATAGAGATATTTCACAGCATTTCATAGTGGCTGCATCTGAACATTACATGAAAGTGGAACCCGTAAGACAGAGTTGATCCAGAATGCAGTGGCGTGTGCAGTTTTGGGCATCCCATGGTTTGCCCATGTTACACTGCTGCTATGCAACCTGCACGGGCTTCCAATTTCTTTTTTTGGGTGCAATTCAAGGTTTGTATCTCCTTTAAAGCCCTGAATGGCATGGGGCCAGGTTATTTACAGGACCACCTGAAGGTATTTACCCTCTCCACCAGATCAGATATGGTGGGTGCATTCCAGATCCCTTCCCTTAGATGTTGCCATCTAGTGGGACCTTGGTAGCATGCCTTTGTGGTAGCAGCTCCTGCCCTTTGGAACACCCTTCCCCCTGAGATCCAGCAGGCCCCTACCTTCCTGGCTTTCTGAAAAGTCTTGAAGACCTGGATTTTCCCACAGAACCAGGGTAGCATGTGGCTGAAGCCTGGTAAAGTTGTTTGTAGATGTGAAGGGTATGCTGTTTTTAGGGGCACTGGGAGTTTTTATGCTGGTTCTATGTTTATATTGCTGTTTGTAAGTCGCCCAGCTTTAAGGTACATAAGATGGGAGGCTATATAAATCTTTTAAATAAATAAATAAGGCTGTATATAGCATATGAGTAGAATGTGGTGACAAGTACTCTTAGGTCATTCCCATAACTACCAGGGATAAATAAATCTGAAGGCTCTGCATATGATTTGCATGGAGTTGTGTGCCAACCAGTAATTTTCACTTGTTTCTGTCCTGTAACAATCCAGAAACCATGGAAATATGACTCTCAAACTGCTGGGGTATACCAACAGAAGTGCTATTATTCATTTTTACATGCTACCCATAGGAATTATATTGTCCACTAAAACCAATGGCCTTTTGGTCTGAACCAAAATTCTGTGGGGTTAAACAGAAGTGTGCAAGCAGCATAGACTAACAAACTGCTTCTTTGTGGTTAAACAGAATTCTAAATAGGTGATGTCAAACACAGCCAGAAAGCACTGGATTTCACCCTTCTGAATAATTTAGTATTATAAGCAAACTGGCTGTCTTGGTCCAGATCATTTGTGAATATGGGGGGGGGGTGTTAATATATATGGCCAAATTTTAAAATGCTTCTTTCTATGCATACAAGTACTTAATAATTTAAGTGTAAAACAGGTGTTTTGTCAGGTTCAGCCCAAAGAACTCCACGAGACAGTATGGATACAGTTCTGTTGCATGTATTAGCTTCCACCTCCAAGACAGAATCTCTCCAGATTGAATCTAAACTTCCCAAGCCAGCAAGCCAAAACACCCTGAATTCCTTAGGGTGGTGCCAGTCTCATCTTCTTAACCTTCCCACACTCCTGCTGGGGGCTAAAGAAATGCTTATCTCCCCGAGCGCGGCCTTCATCAAACCATTCCAACACGTTTGGAATCACCACCACTAATTTCCTCAGAATGAAGGATTTTAGTTATTAGTACTGGTGTCTGTTTAATTATAACAATATACTGTTCATTGCTTACAGATTATAGGCACAGATCTCAGTGATGTATGCTTGTCCAACTTTCAGGGATTTCTCATAAAAAAACCCTTTCAATTTGCTTTTGAAACTCTGAATTTGCGAAAACGTAACAAACATGTGCAAGGCTTTTTTAATGGCAAATTCACGTAAAAGCAAGTTCCCTTTAAGACCTGTAAGACATTCTTAAATTTGTCTTCATTGCAGGGAAGTTCTAAGGTCATGTCACAGGATTCTGTGAGGGCTCTTTTAAGGAAAAACATTTTTTTTTTAATACTTGACTTTTCTGCTATATTAATCATAGCCATATTTTGAATTTGTAGTCTGAATAAAGGACTGAGAATAAGCTATGGCTTAGTTATTAAGGAACATATCAGGAAATGCTTTTCAGGAAGCATTGCCTGCCATAAATTAATAACAATACTTATGGATTAAAATTAAAACAAATAAAGCCTTTCCTATTTTATAAAAAATAAAAATATTTGAACAAAAATATTAAATTTTACAGTACTTTGGAACCTAGCATGCCTCTTACTATACAAGGGTTACAGAGCTTATGAAATTCTAAATAGTATTTGTTGAGCAGAGGAAACAATGGAGTTCAGAAACATCTAGCATTCTAGGAGAATGGCATTGACAAGGCAAGGCTATGTTATTTACTGCTGTATATGCAGCAGATTTGTCAGTCATCAGAAATACTCACTGACTTCAACATAAATGAGCCAATACTTAGAAATAATTGGTATTCTTCTGGGATTAGAAAATATGCAACAACATTAATATTCAGTAGAGTTTATACCTTTCAAATAATGATGTTTACTTTTTATATGCAAATTCACATCTCCAATCTGAAATCCTTACAATAAATTTTGAAAATTCATTTAAAGGCATATGCTCCTTATAACATTTCAACATAAGGCTAGAACATCCACAGTAAATCTACGAAAAAAAACTTTTTAAATAATATATATTTGCATTTTTTTTCATTTGTAATACCAAAGAAAGCTATAAAGATTAAGGTTTTCTGATTCAAATCAATACTAATGTAGATAATGGAATATAATACAGAAATTAGAAAACTTAGGTACAACATTCAAATCAATCATCTGAACATCTTTGCAATTGAATAAAACAGTACCTCTGTGCTTCTGAACATTTAATGAAAAAGTGCTTTAATTTAATTATCAGTTTATAAATTGTAAATGTTTCTGTCTTTTAAAAGAGTTCAGAGAAATAGTAACCACGAATTAACTTTAACGCAGATTCCTATGTTGTTGACATGAACTAAGACTGAGAGGTAGCACCTTAGCTTAGGCCTTTTAATGGGTTTTTAGCTAAGATAACACAGTGTCAATTTCCAAGCTGTTAGCTACCAGATTGCCAATTAACAGAGTTAGAAAACTGGGCAGAAAGAACCTGTTTGTGGTGGAGAGGACACTCCATTCTTAAGCTATACATGCACCTGTCCAAATGAGATCATTCTTGAGTACAGTGCATGGATACATTCCTGAGACCAAATCTCATCACCCATCTGACCTTACTGATGATTACAAAGTATAGAACAGGGGGCATACTTAGTTGTTATGGGCCAGGGGCCCATTAACATTTTGAAAACATAGTGGTAGGTGGATTGAGAGCATAGCTGTTGTAGTATGCATAGCCAATCACACAATATTCATTTATCAGAATGCAAGCAAACTCCTGAGGCCAAGCCCCATCTCCCAGTAAGACTTATGTGGGATTCAAAGACTACATGACTCTAGAGGCTTGTGCTTTGTAACATGCCAGCTTCCTGCTATTATATCATCATCATCATCATCTTTTTAAAAAAATCAGATGAGGTAGAGAGCCTAGCAAGTGAGTTGCCTGGAGACAAATTAGTGAATAATATTCCCGTCAACAGGAACTGAGGTTTCCATATTCCCTGTTCCCATAAAAGATTTTCCTGGCAACCAAGTAAATAAAAAATCAACAAGAGAGTGTTCTGCTGTTAAGCTCCCTATTTCATATCTAAGTTAAACATAATATGGCTTGGTGGCTGGTGTGGGTCTTCCGGGCTGTGTGGCCATGTTCTTGAAGTTCTGTTTCCTAACGTTTCGCCAGCGCCTGTGACTGGCATCTTCAGAGTGCAGGAACACAGTCAGGAGCAGTTCTCCTGCATCACCCTGTGCACCGAGAGAAATGCTCCTGACTGTTCTCCCGGACCCTGAAGAAGCCAGGCCCAGGTGGGG